AGATTTTGACCAATACTACCTCGCCTAATTTTGATTGTATGATACATTTTTGTTTGACGAATAAGTTTTTTGTTTGAATAATTTAGCTATGGGAAACATCTTTCTCATTCACATTTTCCCCATATGAGATTCATAAATGAAAATCGAGGTTTCACATGCTTTTTCTAAAAAGCGACACGTAATTAAAAATCTTATAATCCGATAGGTTAACCTTATTTGATTCATTTCTTAAGGGGTCTCACGACCTTTAAATCTTCAAAAATATCGATTTTTTGAAAAACATATATGTTTTAGTTTGAACATTTCTGCGCACTTTAAAAAAAACCGTGTTAAAATATTCCGTGTAGTTTAGGAGATATCATTAAAAACGTAAAGGTCACTGACACGAGAATCCTTCATCACGTATGTAAATAAACATTTAAAGGGACACGTCATTTGCTCACAGCTGTCATAGCCGTTATATAACTGAGTGTTGCTACATTCTAGCCTACAAGTCTTATTTTTATTTCGTCAGCAATCAGTAGCAATGATTCTACTCAACTTAATACTTATTCTGAATGTTTACATCGTGTTCCGTCCGTAAGTATTACTATTTGTTTGTTTGAATTTGTTTGATATTACTACGTTGTGATTCTGCAAGTTGTATTGACGTTTGCAGCATTTATTTGGTGTATATTGAATTTTTGATGCGTTAGTCTTTTTGCTGCAATAATAAGTATATTTATATATTATATTTGTGATGGCAAATAATAAAAGAGCTTCTGGGAAGCGAGCTAAAAAACGTCGCTTCCACGGCAACCGCTACACGAATATCAGATCTGAACTTTCTGATAAAAGCTTGGTTTCATCAGGTGATGACCATAATACTCAAATTGAACATGTAGAAAGTGCATCCGAGAAAAAGCTTAACAATGCATTATTTAATGAAAGTGATACTGACATTATGAATCGTTTTCATGGCTATATAATTATGGATAAAGACATATTGTTTACATTTTTGAAAGAGAATGTAATGTGCAAATTGTGCTGTAATTCTGTCAATATTTCTGAGAGAAAACCCTTTGGATTATTTTCAACAATTACTGTGAAATGTGAAAAGTGTAGTTTTAAAACAGAATTCAATAATTCAAAGTTGATTGGTGAACATAAAAATGTTCCTGAATTAAACAGACGAATTGTTTATGCTATGCTTGGTCATGCTATGCGAATGGAAACATTGGGTTGCAAGGCTTAACAAAATGCAGAAAAACTGTCGCCATTCAAAGTATGAAAATTGCTGCAGAAGAAGAGGCATGCAAAACTGCATCAAATTCTGTCACCGTAAGTGGTGATGGAACATGGAAAACGAGAGGACATACTTCACATATTGGAGTATGTTCTGTAATAGGTGCTGAAACAGGGAAGGTTTTAGATGTTGAAGTTCTCTCGTCCACTTGTAAAGGATGTGATCTATCTATGGAAAGCAAAAAAATCTGGGAAAGCTTTCGAAGAGTGGCAAATGAAACATTTGCCAAATTGTCAGAAAAATCATATCGGTTCTTCAGGAAAAATGGAAGTCGATGGTATGATAAAAATTTTTCACAGATCAGAAGCTGAAAGAGGTCTCAAATATATTAATTATATTGGTGATGGTGATTCTAGAACATTCCCTGCTATACTGACAGACAGCAAACCATATGATGATGAAACTGTTTCAAAACTTGAATGTGTTGGTCACGTACAAAAAAGAATGGGAACTCGACTGAGAAAGCTAAAACAAGACTATAGATGTAAAAAGCTGGAGGACGGTAAACCTTTATCAGGCAAAGGACGACTGACAGACACCACACACCATGATAAATAGGCTGACTCAGTATTATGGAAATGCAATTCGCTCAAATGCTTTGTCAGTTGATGAAATGCGTAAGGGTATTTGGGCAGTTTATTTTCATACGAGATCAACTGATGCTGAACCGTTACATACATTTTGTCCTGCTGGTGCAGACTCATGGTGTAAATATCAACAAGCAGTTTCAAATGGCTCAGTGGGTAAATTTCATCATAAAGTGACTTTGCCATCTTCAGTCATGGATGTTATAAAACCTGTTTTTAAAGCTTTATCAAGTCCAGATCTTTTGAAACGATGCCTTGGTAGCTTCACTCAGAATCCGAATGAATCTTTTAATTCCCTCATATGGCAGATGTGTCCGAAAACTTCTGGATCTGGGAAACGAATTGCAGAAATTGCTGTATATGAAGCAGCAATTTTATTTAACTTGGGGAAAAAAGGGTAGGCTATCTGTCATGAGGCAAATGGGTATCCATCCAGGTATAAATGCAATAAAATCTCAACTTCGCAGTGATATGAAACGTGTAAATACTGCTAAGAAGAGAGCAATGCAAAACACTATAGAAGCACGAAAAGCAAGGAAAAGATCCAAAACAAGTTTAGAACATCAGCAAATTGATCAAGAAGGAATAATGTGTGAACCTGGAGGTTTTTAATTTGTGTATATAAATATTATGAATAGTAATACAGTATTTTGTGATAAGTTATGTGTGTCGACAAAAATTTAAACATCTTGTTCAAGAAACTGATTATTAATATATTTTTATTCTCAGAAATATTTATAGGTTTATAACACAGTTTGCACATTGCATTCTCTTTCATGTATATGAAAAATATATCTTTATCTGCAATAATGTATCCTTGATAACGGTTGACTGTGTCATCACTTTCATTAAACAATGCATTGTTAATTGTTTTTCAGATGCAGTTTCCTTATTATAAATATATATTCTGTCATTAACTTTATTCAAAACACAAACAAAAAGAATAAAATACAAATTAGGTCCCAAATAGTACGAGTTAAGACTCATTAAGTCACAATGTTACTCATTTTTATAGCGATGCAAACTTTACAGGTCTTTATCTCAAAACGTATTTTTTTAATGCGTCGCGAGTCTACTGCCTATTATCCGCCTATTATCCGAATTTTTGTAAGCCCCGTAACAGGTTTCTTCTTCACTACTACATGATTCACTTAGATATATATCTACTATAGATTAACTATAGATAATGCCTTTTTCTTTTAGACTTAAAAAAAAAAAGTTAGGGCAACAAGTTTAACATTTAAAAAAAAATAAAACATTGAAAAAATTATACCTAAAAAAATTTGAACAAATTCGTCGCCACAGAAAAAATATTTGCGAAAGAAGAAACAATTTTCGAATCTCACGCGCTTTCTAATATATTTCGTTCTTGAGGAAAGATTTTCAACATATCCTGAGACAAAGCAGAAAAATTGCTATAAAGAGTTGTTCTTCCGAAATGTTTTGAATGTGTGATATGACCTTAACGGAAATTTTTATATTAACTCACGTGGTAGTCAACGTGTTAAGCATAGATTCAAAACAAATTTCTCTTCAGCGAACTTGAGACAAAATACAGCAGTTTTTTCAGAAATTTTATCTCTGTTTCATTCACTGCAGGCAAATCCCATAAGTGTATATTCTACAAGTCAAATCCCACAACTGCCTTAGGAAAAAAAGCCGGGTGTGTTAAAATATAAGTACACTGCGCAAAAAAAAAAAAAAAAAAAAAAAAAAAAAAGGATTGGATTGGATTATGTAATTATGGCAAAGCACACGAGGGCTATCTGCCTAAAGGGAAGGATGCCTTCGTGGAGGACTTTCTAAGGGAAACTGGCTCATATACACGTTACACATGGGGAAAACCACGAAAACGCCCATGTAGCCAGCCTGTTCGCGGGATTCGAACCTCGGACCGAACTACCAATGTTCAGCGTCTTTACCGCTCGGCCGCTGGTGGGGACCAAAAAAGAAAAAAAAAAAAAAAAAGGGTGGGTGGACAGTTCTATATCTCCCGTTCTACTAGGCCGATTGACGAAATTCAACTTGCTTTTTTCATATCTCAAAAGGGCGACTTAGGATATATTTTGATTTATATATAGCAGCGACTTAGGATATATATTAGATTTATCTATAGCACTGCTCTAATATAGTTATTTTGACACAAAATCGGACTTTTTCTGAAATAAAACACCAATTTTTTCCCATCTTTTGATTCTACGACTCATAGCCAAACTACCAAGTTTTGTAAAAATCGTACAAGTATTTTTGAAAAATTAGCTCTCAAAATTTTAGCTCCTTTGTGTTAATTCAGTTTGGCTTATATTTATTAATCTCTCTTTTTTAATTAAACTTATTTGATTCTTCCTTTCCCATTTCGATATTCAGGCTCATTCCAAATAAAATTCACCCAATTTTTATGATTTATTTTTTTAAATTTGTATTTTAAAATAATTTTTTTTTTTTTCAAAAACATTTTGAATTATATCTATAAAAATTTACCATCATCTCAAAGAAGACGTATTTCTAAGCATACCTGCAAAAAATTACACTTTTTTATTCAAAATTTCCGCAGATATATTGGCGCGTTTTGAAATTTGGCATATTTGTTGAAAGCGATAAAACATCAAATGTGGTTTAGACACTTTGCTAAAATTATTTGAAAGTAAGAACGATGTGACTTTTTTCCGCTCATGCACAATATAAAAAGATAGGAACGAATACCTTTTTTCTCGCTTCGGCATAATGGAAGGGAAAGGAAAATTGGTTGCCATAAATATTCGCCAAGTGAATTATTCTTGGCCAAACTGAAAAATTTCGCCAAGATAAATTTTTGAATTTCTCCGTCAATTTCGCGCCAAATTCTACAAAATTTAATATCTACGCATAATTTGAGTCGTAGAATCGAAATATGGAAAAAGCTGGTATGTTATTTCGGAAAAAGTCCGATTTTGTGTCAAAATACGTATGTTAGAACAATGCTATATATAAATCTAATATATATTTTAAGTCGTGCTTTCCAGACATGAAAAATGCAATTTGAATTTTGTCAATCGGCGCAGTAAAACGGGAGATATAGAACTGTCTCCCCCCCGCAGTGTACCTAAATTATTTGGAGGTATTCTGATAACAAGATTTTTCTACATTACTCACTTATAGCATTCTTGCTCTGCAAAAAACTTGCGTTCTTTTTCTAGAATGAATGCAAAATCTTTTTCATCGTCTATTTCCTTCTGACCTCTATTCAAGACCCCCACGAATCCTGCAAACAATAATAAAATATGTCACTTAAATAATAATCTGAATATTTTTAGTGGAATATACATTTTCGCGTAAAACTGCATTCTTTTTGTAGATTACTTAATGATTAAAATACTTACACAACACAGCAAGTGATTCAGCAATCGAAAAAATTAATATATATACAGGGTGATTATAATTAAAGTTTAAGTTTCAAAACGCTATAAAAAAAGAACCACTGATGAAAATGATGTGAAATTTGAAAGGAATGTTATTGAAAAAGGCGGAAAGCATATGGCAGAAGAAAAATTTTAGGTTTCAAAAGTTAGCAACAGATGGCGCTGTAAGCGGCAGAATCACGACGAGAAACGAGAAATGATTCGTAAAACAATGGCTAAGGTGGAAGTTACACATTAAAACGCATTGACAAATTAGAATTGTTGAATAATTTTATTTACATGACTGTACATATCACATCGAAAGGGACAAATCGGTTTCAAGAGTTTTGCGGCGACATACCGCATAAGAACCATTCATCAAAGAAGTTCGGAACTGTCGCGAGACTGGCGCAAAACATGTTCAATATGGTGTCCACTGTTGTGTGCAACAAGTTGAAAGTGACAAACAGCATGTTCCACAACGGATCGCAGTGTCTCCGGGGTGATGTTCAGAATGTGTTGCGAAATGCGTGCCTTTAATTCCGCTAAATTTGCAATTGGAGCACGGAACACAACATCCTTCAGATACTCCCACAGCCAGAAATCACACGGAGTAAGATCAGGCGATCGGGATGGCCCAGGATGTAGGGAAATGACGGCCTGATAATTCGAGCATTTCCGAAATGGCGCCTCAGCAGCTGTTTCACAGGATGTGCAATGTGCGGAGGAGCGCCATCTTGCATAAAAATGATTTCATCCCACACATCCATGCTGTTGCAGACCTGGAATCACGTGGTTGCACAAAAGAGACGCATACCTCTGAACCAGTGACGGTTGCGGGAACAGGACCGGAAACACCCGTTTGCTCGAAAAAATATGGTTGTAGGATGAATGATGCCGTAAAGCCACACCATACCGTGACCCTTTCAGGATGAAGTGGTACGGGGTGCGTTGCCAGTGGATTTTCTGTTGTCCATATTCGACAATTCTGGGTATTCATGTATCCTGTCAGATGGAAATGGGCTTCATCTGTCCACAAAATTTTCCACGCCATTCATTATCCACTTCCATGCGAGCCAGGAATTCTAACGCAAAACGTCTCCCTAGCTGTCAGGTCAGACGGAAGCAACTCCTGCACATGGCCAATTTTGTACGGATAGCATTGCAGGATGTTTCGTACAATTTTCAGCAGTGTGCTCGTAGGCCTGTCCAAGTGTTCCGGCAATTCCTCGTGCACTTGCACTGGTTGCACACCACCGGCCGACCCCTCCTGTAATGCTGTGGCCACTTTCTTCAACTACCGTCGAATACACTCGTTTTCTCCCTCTACCAGATTACACATCAAACGAACCTGTCGTTTTGAATTTTTGCATTATTTTCTTTAGATCCACGACACTCATTGGACCAACGCCTTCTTCTATATCCTTTAGTGTCCTGAATTTTTGCAGAACTACTCTTGACAATCATCATTCTTGTATCAGCTTTACCAGCAGAGCGCGGTCCTGCAGTGAAACACCCATGGCGAACGTCTGAGACGCGAAATGAGGAACAGCCTGGACCTGCTGGCTTTATAACACTGAAATTTAACAACATTTTAGTCTTTTCGCTGCGCCATCGTTGCTACTTTTGAAACTAAATTTTTCTTGCCATACCTTCCGCTTCTTCATTCTTCAATCACTCATTTCTGAGGTTCTTTTTTTAGCGGTTTAAACTTAAACTTAATTATAATCACCTGATATATATGTAATGATATTTTTAAATCAATTGATTAAATTAAATTCTATTAATATTGCTTAATAATGTGTTGGCGATTCTCTACCTAAATTGCATCCCTGTTCCTAAATTTTGGCGAAATCCTTTCTTTAGTATAAAATATATTAACCTGTTGGCGCCCGCCAAATCGCCAAACTCATAAATCTGTCATATTACATAAAGTCCTTAAGAACACTCCTGATGAGAAGATAGCGTCACCTCGTGATTTCAATTAATATCGCTGATTGGATGAGCCTCGTGACGCACACATATGTATAAATGGGGCTTCTGCTCAAGGTACGAGGAGAACGCTTGTGAGATGGATGCTAAAATAAACCTACCACTTTATATTCCAAAATTTGTCTCATTCCTGTTGCCCCGGCTGCACAAAACAAATAATGTATGAGAAATTACATTTCAGAAAGCCGGTAGGATACCACCTTCAAAGGGATTATCTAAAAAAGAAGATACCCCAAGGATTATACGGATAAAATGTTACGCACTTTAGATGAATTTGCCGCTGTGCGACTTCTATGTTTCTACATTTTTCTCTAGGCGTTCTTGCTTCAAGAGAATCATCCTTCTGTTACCTGTATTCTGGTATTCTGCAGATTTGCAGATTTATTTTACGTCCAGAGAAGCATCCTTCTGCCCCCTGTGATGCGTGATCTGTGTTTCCATCGAAAGTTCGTCGTTCATCAAATGTGCTCTTACCGTTGACCTACTTTTGAGGATGGAAATCTTTCCCTACGTCTACGCCGTTCTGTGTTGCTCTCGAGAGCTTTGTGCTTGTGTGGTGATTGATCGTGTTTTGCGAAAATCTAATCAAGAGTGCACAAAAATGTGTATTTTCGTGTCGATTTCATCACTCGTATTCTCGTCACAATAAGTCAAACAGAAGCAATTAGTAAAAAGATTGGCGATGCAAATGATATTATTACTATTGAATTATAATTACTGATTTAATAATAGTGTTTTTATTTTGAAAATTTTAAAAAGTATTATTTTGGTATAAATGTATTTTAAATTTGGTATTTAAAGGATGTATTTTGGTTTTAATATTGTTTTGGGAAAATTTAAAGAGTATTATTTTTAGTTAGATCTCTGATCCTGATGATTCATTAAGGGCAGCTAGCGCTGAACCTGAAACAAGTATAATTCCCTTTGACGCGCAGAATGATATGGATATAAATTCATGGCTTGAGTACTTTAACAAAACTCATTTAGATAAAGATGAAACGTGGAAGCTTAATAATGTAGCTCGATATCTAAAAGGTAATGCACTTAGCGTATATGTCAAAAACTGCCATAAAATTACTAAATGTGGAATTAGTCCAAATTTAAAGGGGGAAAAGAATTTTTATAAAATTGTAGTACCTAAATCTTTAAGATTAAAATTGTTGAATAAAACCCATGAAAATTTTGGTCACTCGGGAGTTCAAATTATGCTTAACTTAATCACTCCTCAATATTATTGGCCTCATATTAGCGAAGATATCGGAAATTTTGTTAAACATTGTCATACTTGTCAACTTAATAAAAAAAAAAAAAAAAAAAAATTTGGTCTTATGCAAGACGTACCCCCAACCGACAAACCTTTCGAATGTCTCTCTATTGACACTGTGGGAGGATTTAATTATTACAATTCTACAAAAAAAATATTTACATATAGTTATTGACCATGCAACAAGATATGTCTGGGCTTTTCCCTCTAAAAGTGTAACTTCAGAAACCTATGCCAATTGTCTAAAACAAATATTTCAAATACAAGTCCCCGAAAAAATTCTGAGTGACAGGAATGCAGCCTTCACTTCCTCTAGATTCAAAAAATTTCTTAAAAAGCATAATGTTAAACAACTTTTAACTTCATCTCACCATCCCCAGACAAATGGTAAAGTAGAAAGAGTAAATCAATCAATAGTAAGTCGACTAAAATGTAAAGTAAATTCTTCTTCTAAAAAAGTACCATGGACTAAAGTGCTAGAGCAAGTTGTTATCGAATATAACAACTCCCCTCATACGGTAACTAAGTTCACCCCAGCATACTTACTATTTGGTAACCTCCCTTTTGAATCTCCAATTGATCAAAATAAATACCCTTCCTTAAATGAAGCAAGGGCTTTAGCAAAGAAAAGAACTATCGAATACCACCGAAAGAATAAAACTAGATATGACATCAGATTTGTAGAATCTAAATTTCAACCTGGAGATTTTGTCCTTTACGAGGAATTCGAATACCCAAATACTAGAAAATTGACTTCACCCTATTCAGGCCCTTATCAGATTATGAATAAATTATCTGAAGTTAATTATGAAATCGACAGGGAAAATTTTCACACGAAGAAACCAACTGAGATTGTACATGCGTCAAAATTAAGGTTCTATTATCCACCCGAGAACTTTAAATTACATCATGAATAAATCAAAATTTATAAATCAATAAACTATCCATAACCCTTCTTTTAGTTTTCATCCTGTTGTCCCCCTTAATAGTTGATTTATCTCTCAGTGTCTGAAAAGTTTGTCTGCCCTTTTCTTTTACTGGGCTCCTTCAAACTTGAGTTTCAGGTTCAATGCACTTTCCGTGTGGGAAACACTCAATTGAGGCTATACTACAAGTAGAGTACTATACCCTCACATTTCCTTGAGCTCATGTTTTCCTATGTTTGTGTTATAAATTGTAGCAACAGTTGAAAAAGTTAAATTTCAGTTGTTGAAATTTCTGAATTTCATTTTATGTTTCTGCAGCATCGTGTACAAAAAACTGGTATGGATGTTGGAAGTTAAATTTTGTTTTGTTATCATTAATAAGAGAAAAATAGAGTGACAAAATATGTTAAAAACCTAGCAAAATGTGTATTTTCAACAAGAGTATAAGAGCTCTAGTATCGTGACATAAAAACTCAAATGTTTTCAGTGCCAATGCTAATCCATAATTCTAGCGCTAATTAAATGATCCGGAGATCTCCAAAGACCAGTAAAAGACTGAAGATGAGCCTGAATGACAACTCTAATGATTGTACGGACTCATACACAAACTGTGAATGGCATGCCCTAAGATATAAACTTACAAATTCAGTTATATTACTATTTCCTATTGCCGCGTAGCTAACCAGCAATATGTTATTAGTGCTTTATTTGTTCTGCACTTAGTTACTATATTATAATTTCATTAATCATTTATTATATTTTATATACTGTATTAATTATATTCAAATATTTTATGTCATATTTTATGTAAACATTTTGTGTGCCTTGAGGTAAATCCAATCAGTTTTCCTACTCACTTAATTTCCTAATAACTAAATTTTCTGCTCTCACTATCTGGACTGTCTTGGGTCGACGGCCGCGACTGCAAGCCTTTTCAGATGGGGGGGGGGGGATAATCTGTAATGATATTTTTAAATCAATTGATTAAATTAAATTCTATTAATATTGCTTAATAATGTGTTGGCGATTCTCTACCTAAATTGCATCCCTGTTCCTAAATTTTGGCGAAATCCTTTCTTTAGTATAAAATATATTAACCTGTTGGCGCCCGCCAAATCGCCAAACTCATAAATCTGTCATATTACATAAAGTACTTAAGAACACTCCTGATGAGAAGATAGCGTCACCTCGTGATTTCAATTAATATCGCTGATTGGAGGAGCCTCGTGACGTACACATATGTATAAGTAGGGCTTCTGCTCAAGGTACGAGGAGAACGCTTGTGAGATGGATGCTAAAATAAACCTACCACTTTATATTCCAAAATTTGTCTCATTCCTGTTGCCCCGGCTGCACAAAACAAATAATGTATGAGAAATTACATTTCATATATATATATATGTATACAATAGGTAACGGAGTGATTAAAACCCCAAAGGTGTAAGAGAATATAAGATGCTTAAATTAAAAAATTAAATGTATAATATCTTTTGCTATTCTCTTAAAAGTACATACACGTTAAACTTAGCGTTTCTGGAAACAATCCATTTTAATATTGCATAAATGTTGGGTAAGGACTTTTATGAATGCGGTGTATTTATCACCGATTATTTGATGGGTTTTAGCAAAATTCCAGATCGAGTTAAGTATTTCTTCTTTTCGTTTTTCCTTTTTTTTTTTTTTTTTTTTTTTTTTGGAATAAAATAAGAAAAAAGAGAACACTGTTTTTGTAATGTTTGAAGGGGGTCAATTTAATGCTTCTCCATCAGCATTTTTTAAGATTAAATGGTATGCTTAAATGATATTTTTATTATCTGCCGCTTATTCATATTTGAAATATTCTTTTTAGGATTCTTAAGATATTATAGGATCAATTTTGTCTGTATTTGAAGTAAAATTTTTTATTGTTATTGTGAGTCATATTCAGTAACTAGGAGGGCCTGACGTAGGGGAGAGCAAAAGTCAACCTGTAAAGCGAGTGCGGGCTTGTCTAGTTGGCTTAATCCATTCCGTTACGAAATCTTGTGCAACGACAGCGTCACCTCTTTCCTCTCCGATTTCGTACGCAGGTTTCCGAAATCAACAGCACGAATGCATATAAGTTCTTAAAGTGCATATGCAAATATATAGGCATGATTATACTGACGGTCAACCTAAGCTGAGAAAGCTAGATATGTTATGATTCATCTGCATCTACCGAAGAATATATTTCTATATTTTCTAACAGCTTTAATTTTAAAATTAAACTGTGAAATATGAATATTGTTGTTATGATAAAAAGGCCGCATGTGTTCTCTCATCCAGAGTTTATTTAAAGTAAATAAATAAATTAATTAATTAATTAAATTCGTAAAAGGCAATTTTTTCTTGTAAATTTTGCTTAAATTTCTATCAGGAAGATTGTTTCGCTTCAATCGCTTCCTGGAAACAAAAGAGGCACACGAGAGCCAAGGTCCAACCAAACGAGATCCTCACACAAGCACCACCGAATCCTGCGACGGCCTTATCCTCATGTTGCACTAAAAAAGACCTTTTTGTCCCGTGGTTAAAAATATTTGCTAGGAGTGGGCAAATTCTTGGGCAGATTCTTTACTTCAACTAACTTTATTTCCGCAACATCGTTTATTACGCTCACTGAGATGTGGATTCAGGGGGTTTCGCCTCTAGAGGAAAATTATCGCAAGCGATACCGGAGTCAGTGCAGTGAATGACACATTGAGTTATTCATATTTTCCTGAAAAGATGATGATATTAATAATTTAAATCTAACTTACCTCTTTTTAAGTATACCATTTTATTTTCCAGGATAGCTCTCGCGTCTGTCCCTTTGTCCATTAAATCCAGCTTTGTAAGTACTCCGATGGTTCTCTCTCCTAAAAAGAGATTGCGTGATGATTAATATTCATTTCAATTTTGTAACCTAAAGCCAATGTTAAAGAGACGACTGTAATATGTATGAGGGCTTACGCTCAGGGTCTGCAACTTTGGCAACATCCAGGGCATCTGAATTGGCGATATCTTGGTTAGCAGGGATCACAGCTAATATGATACACTTCGGTTTCTGGATGTACTGCAGTACCATATCTCGGACCACCTGGACACTGTCGTCCGATTGCCCTTGCACTGTCACTTTGATTACACCAGGAAGGTCAACTAACGTCAGCTTCAATACTGAAAAACAAGAAAAGTGCAGTTAACTAACAGAACAGCAACGTAGCAAAAATATTTACTGCTAATTTACTCAAGAAAAAAAAAAAATGGGCGGTAGACTGCATTACTGATGGAAATTAAAGATGTTATAGAACAAAAAAAATTGCGCACACGTATATTTTATTTCATTTTATATGTATTACATTTTTCATTCAAAATGACCCTAAAATGGGTCGATGATATGACAAATAAAATATACATAATTTAATATGTCTGTAGTTATATTCCTAGTCAAAGTTGAATCTCTACGTGAATTGCCGAGTGTACTTGGATAGTTGCTTGGCACCCTATTGAGATTAAAATAATTTGCATATTTCTTAAAATCAAATGCCATTGCATCTCGTTTGACGTCTACATTGAAATCTCCAATGGCAACAGTAGGGACATTTGTATATACAGTAAACTCTTTATCGATCTGTAAAGTTGTGTCAGAATATATCATCGATGCACTAAACAAGAATAGCTTCAAATCTCCTGAATTAACATTTGGATGAATATATACGGATGACAAAATAAATGTTGACTGTCCATTAAGTATGACATCAGCCATGCAAATATCGCCTACTTCTGAATCCTGTATTCTTTTACACTCGTCTAATTTCTATAAATCGCAACCACTACCCTGGCGAAATAAAATAAAATACAGCAAATACCACCTGAACACACTGACTGTCTACGTTCAACTGTATGAAATGTATTATCGGTACGTTGCACCAATCCTTGACTACATTTAGCCGTGAAAATTTTAGCGAACGTTTGCATGGCTCATTAGATTATACAGCAATTTGTAGGATTGCAACCAAGTTAATGGCAGTTCTTAGTGTGACAAATCTTTGAATACATGTGTCAGCGACTTATCGTTGTGTCTAAGATGAAACAGAACTTAAAAAGGGCGTAAAAGACCCCTTTTATTAACAACTCCAGTAATCTGCTGGAAGACACCTCTTGTGTTTACAAAACAAGCCAGCATTTATGGCGCAACTCAAAAATAATGAATTCAAGTTAAAACTAAGTTAAGTCGTAAGCCAAAGGTTACGCAGAATTAATTAACGCGCAAGATGTCTCAAACCTATATCAGCAGACAAGCACTACTGGCAAGAATAACGTAACGCCGAAGACAGAAACTCTATCGCAGAAATTAAAATAGCAACGTGGCCTTCAGCACAGGGAACACGCTCTGATTAAGCAAGTTAAAAACCTTCGTTTAAGTATTACATCTTTCTATTTCATTTGAAAACGCGCGAACTAAAAATGAGCATTCTTGCAGGACAACGGGAAAGGAGAATGATTTAACATAAAATAACTGGTTACATAAAAATAAATAAATTCTTACAAACTAATAAAAACGAAAGTAGTACCTTAAAAGAGAGATCATTTGCTCAGCTTTGTTTGGAAAATGATAAAGATTATAATGTTTTGCTACTTAATACGAAAGTTCGTTGGTTATCTAAAAGTGCTGGAACTCATTGTTGGAATTCCTGGAAATTAAAGACAATGATTTGTGGCTCAGTTTAATCAAGTCACAAAAGTGACTTAGCTTATATGACTAGATTATTTGCTAGACTCGGCGAAAGCAATTAAAAAGCTATAAGTTGATAAATTAAATTTACTCAAAAGTTTTTTTTTTTTTTTTTTTTTTTTTTCAATGGCAGAAGATATCATCAAAGGCAGAGATAAACAGAACAGACACATGACAGAAGATATCATTAAAACAAAATAAATGAACATAGAAAGAAATTAACTTAAAGATGGAAAGAAATCGGTTCATCCGTCAACTTATGTCTGGCAATCTAATATCTATCCCATAGGGACACAGAAGGTAAAACAGGATAGGAGGAATAAAATGTCAAAATCCTCTCCAGAGTCGCTCAAGGGACAAGTAGGTTCCGGATCCAATTTAATTTTATGAAGGTGTTTTCGGAGACAATCGTGGCCAGGCAACAGTGCCATCGATTTATCACGAGGCCACTCAGGAGTATCGTGAATATAATTGAACCAGGGCTTTTGACCACTTCTAGCGGCGACGTCCCGAGAGAAGCAAATCATTAGTGTCCTTTTAATTATTGTCTTAATAGATTGGTAGGCCAGTTTCTGGCTATTTATCTGTAAAACAGAAGCTTGTCAGAAAGAGGTGGCTTCTGTCAACTCAAAAGTAAAAGTATAATATCTGCGTTTATTGCAGAAGTTTTTCTGTAGTACCAAAATCTGGGGAGAGGAGAATGCTCTCAGCTTCTAAATCTTTCAAAATTGCAAAAACGAGACGAAGGTTTGTTTGCTTATTCTCAAGAAATTTTTCAGTTGGTTATTCCCGATTGGATGTTTGGGCCTTTTGCAAGTAAATCTACAAACTCATACAAATCCATACAAATGTTGAATTATTCATAAATGAGGAGTTGGAACCAACGTTTGAACAATACTGCAAATTTTGAACAAGGAACACAATATCTGAACAAGGATACCACAATCACAAAAATACCACAGCAAAAACATATGATTTTATACATATTTATTTATTACTAATAGTTAATTTTTAGTACTTTTCCATCACTCTCTTTTCACCCCCGCTTTTCATGCCAGAATCTAAATGAGATAGCGAGAGTTTATTCAGATTAAGGCAAAAAGAAGTGCTATTTAAGCGAAGTTTAGGCAAGTTATTTTTAGAGCATGTTTTGCCTATACCGCGCCACGTTGTACCGTGTCTATTAGCGATTTGATTCTGTGGCGCAGAGTGCTTTTAGCCATTCTGCTTGTCTTGCCGGATTTCTACAAACCAGAGCCTTTCTTGCGCATTTAAATTATCCTGTGAGCCGTTGGGATAATCTAGTATATTTGAATTAGTTCAACATTACGTATTTAAGTTAAGCCAGAAGTGTTGTTCTGTGTGAACCCACGTTGGATCATTGTCATTTCTTTGCATTAAAATAAAAGGGCTATTTACACCCTTAGTCAGACTTTGTCTAGACTTTAAGACAAGAGAATTATTCCTCTGTAGTCTCTCTAGAGCTCCCTAGTTTATGGTACCAAAGAAAGTGAGACTCTATAAACATACAAATTTTACGTCCTACATTATGGGTCACTGTATCGAAGTTGTTGATTGCTTTCTCGTAACTTCCTATCTATTAGAACGTAGATTTAGTTCAGTTATGAACTTCTTAACGGAAAAAAAAAAAAAAAAAAAAAAAAAAAAGAAACCGACTGAAAATGAGTGTTTGTGAAGGTACGCGAATGTTATTCACAAATGTAGAGACGAACATAAATAATCTCACATCATCCCCATCACGTTCACCCACCTCACTGGAGAACAAAATAATAATGCGCTTTTGTATTTTAAAACAAAAGGTATAATTTCAATAAATACTATTTTAAATATTAAAATGTTTAATTGACATTTTCAGTTCACCATTTACCATACAAGACATCAAAGTTAAATTCGTAATTTTTGTGGGATGCAACTACAGAGGTTACTTTAAGTTTCTAACAGTTAGTATAAGTTTAAACATGCTTTAAATGTCTATTCTCGTTTCCCATCTACTATTCCCTGCCAGAATGAGCTTTTAGTAACGCGTTACTCTTTTAGTTCAGGCGCCACTGTACAGACATTAGGAATTTCTGAAAGCCGGATAGACGAAAAATTAGCAACGCCTACGTCGGGAAGCGCACCGCGGACCTCTGGAATAGGCGCTCAGCGTGCAGACCACCACACAACGAAGACACGCCAAGAAGGCGGGAGAAATACCGTTTAATTTGGGGGTTCAAGGTTGGGTTTCTGCTATAAGAAGGTATCCATGTACATAGTAAGCTCGGGAATGAGTATTTTAGAGTATGTAATAGAACATTGCTCAAAATTTAGCACTCATATGCTACTTTTCCAATAAAAGTCCGTATAGTGCTGTAGGCCGTCTATTTAATACTGTGTACTTACCATTTGGGGAGAAAATCTTGAGGCTGATCGGATTGGTTGAGAATCCCTTAGGCCCTGGGTCTCTGTTTGTCTCTTCCAATATTTCCTTCTTAACCAATTTGAAGTCTGTGAACCTTTCCTCGGGTTTATGCAAAAATACTGCATATTCTGTAACAGAAAAGAAATATCGATTAAAAAAACGTTATGTCTAAAAATCTTTTTTCCCCCTCTCATAATGGAACATAAAATTGATCTGCAACTTATGGATACTTTAGAGGGAAGAGAGACATGCCAAAGTAAAACATAAAATTAAGGCGTAATAATATTTCTGTTATTATCTACAGCAGCCTTTCCCCCCCCCTCCTGATGATGATGTTTCTGCATGCGTTGCCCTCGAAATCGATACAGTTATTAGTTAAAATATATGTCAAACATAAGGTTGCTGCTGAGCCTTATTTAATATTGGGATATCCTCTGTGCGTGAGAGGTTTCAAATAAAAATTGCATGCAGGCTGAATGCACGATTTAAAAGCAGTTGACGAGCCAAATACCCCCCCCCCGGAAAAAAGCGGAAAATTTTTGATTTATTTATTTTAACAAAACAGAACTTTTTAATTAAATTTTGAGACTGGCGTCTGCAAGAAATCTCTGATGATTACATTTAGTAATTCAAACGCATTGACAGTTAAATATGAAATTTTTCAGGATAATTTTTATTTTAAATGATTGTAATGTGTTGAATAAACCATTAAATAATTTACTTTTTATCTTAAAATAAATGAATTACGAAAGTTTTCCAGCTGGGGACAAAACTTGAGAATAAAGGATGAAAGTTCATCAAAGTTCAGGCATTGCTTTTGCAGAGTGGAACCTCTGAAAAAGCAATGCCTAGAGGCGGAATCCAAATGACGAGACAAGATGATTTACCTTTTAAGTGCACATCTTTATTCCACAGCTTTAATTCAATTTTCACCCTAGATCATGCTTTACTTCATATGAAATTCTCCAAATTACATATTCAATAGTGATTTAAACTAAGTAAGATTGAATTTAAACTTTCTGCGTCATAACTAATTCTAACAAAAGAAAGGCAGATGAGAAACGCAGTAGCATACATCCTAACAGCCGAGGAAGAGAAAAGCTTCTGTCCGCAAAATGGCGCGCATTCGTTATTTATAGTAGCGGTTATGTAATAGGCGGGAATGTTCTGCAATGTACTGGTCTAGGGGAAAGATCCTGAATTGCAGAAAGTTAATTAAAGGTTGCTGGTTCGCAAAGAGCAAAGCCGTTCTATTTTTTATATTTCACATATACAGATGGAGGACAAAATTACGCGAACACCTGTGAAAACGTATGACGTATTTCACATCTGCATACAGCCGCGCCACCTGCAACAGAAAGTCAGCCACCTAGTGAGGGTGAAGACGAAGGACGAAGGTATCAGTCTCTCAACAGCAGTCACCTGCGTTGCATGCTTCGATCGAACTGTCTGTGAGAAGTTGAAACGTCAGACCTGTCAGAGTTCCAAATGGAATGATAGTTGAAGCGCGTTTAACTGAAGCATCGGTTACGGAAACAGCAAACCTTGTGGGGTGTGCAAGGAGTATGGTATCAGCCGTTATGACAGCCTACACGAAAGAGGGTAAGACGACGTCTTCAAAGCACAACAGTAGCCGAAAGTCAAAGCTGGCTGATAGGAATAGACGGGTCTTGAAGTGCATAGTAGCCCGAAAGCACAAGCAATCGTTATCCGAGATAACATCTGAAATGAACAGTCACCTCCAGGACCCCGTTTCACAAAAACCGTCAAAAGGGAACTTCATGCTGCGAACATTTATGGCAGAGTGGCAATTCGTAAACCCTTGGTGACAGCAACTAATGCTTTCAAACGACGCCAATGGTGCAGAGATCACAAAGACTGGCCCCCACAGCAGTGGCAGCAGGTAATATGGTCAGATGAATTGTCATTCACCCTATTTCAAACGACCGGACGCGTTTATGGAAAATGCCCAAAGAAGCATTTCATCCTGACTGCCTCTTGCCGACTGTGAAGCATGGGGGTGGCGCCATTATGGTATGAGGTGCGATATCTTGGCGCGGTCTTGGGCCATTTGTTATTCTGCATGGGAGGATCACATCCAATCACTATCTAAGCATTCTATGGGATCATGTCCATCCTTTTGTCCAGACTGTATTCCCTGGGAAATGACCGCTTTTTCCAAGACGACAACGCCCCTATCCACACTGCTAGGTGTATTTAAGAATGGTTCGAAGAGCATAACGATGCAATTGAATATCTCGCTTGGCCCCCCTTATTCTCCGGACTTGACTATTATTTAACATTTATGGACATATTTGGAGTCCAAACATAGTTCCCGATTTCCACCTCCAACCGGACTTTCTGAATTAGAGACCGCTCTGCAGGAGAAATGTCTTAATATTCCTTTAAATATTGTCCATGACCTTTATGCATCTATCCCACGTCGCATTCAATCTGTACTTCAGTCAAAGGGTGGTCCAACCCCCTATTAATAAAGATTTTCCATTATTTCACAGGTGTTCGTATTGTTTTGTCCTCCATCTGTATATATATATATGTGTGTGTGTGTGTGTGTGTGTTGTGTGCGTAATAACCAGTTAGATGTAATGATGCCCCCCCCAAATAGATGCTTTGATAGCAGAGAACTTAGAATATTGAATCTGTAATGAACAGCAAACTTAGCAGTCGAGACAGAACAAATATTTTCATCTTTATTTCAACTGACATTTGCGGCCACAATGTTGAAACTCTCACCGACAACCACGTGATTTGCGCATGCGCGCAGCAAAAAAATAAATCAGAACTTTTTAGTTGAACTTTTAAGAACTCGTGATGGACGTTTGAGTGAAACATGTAATCCTTATCTTTGTGTTACATATATATTTTAGTTTAGTGATGTTATTGTAAATTAAATATCTTATTATCTTAGAAGCCTCTCTCTTTCTGTGAGTAGTGTATCGTGTAATTAAGAAAAATACTCCCGGATATGCCTTTGGAGAAGAAAGAAGATCGAGTAAAAGTTCAGCCTTTTTACCTTTTATTTTATAAGAAATTACTAGAATTATACATACTCCACCTTTAAATTTGCTGAAAAATCAAATTTAAAACTGTAACCTTTGAACAGGCTTTACCATTCGACCACTTCTTGTAGTCATTGATGGAATCTTTTCGCTCTTAAGATCTTGAGGCAAGTCATTACGAATATCAGTATCGCAGTAAGTCTCTGTTTCATCAGAAGAGCTGCTTGCCACATTTCTAAATCTAGACTATTCATCTGATGATATTATCTCCAAAGGATATAAACGCTTGCTTGGTCGCAAAACTTCTCCAAGCTTAATCTTGACCTTAACTAAACGCACATGTCCATCCCGAGATTTGAAAATCTCGGTTACTTTCGCCAATAACCAGTCTGTTCGCTTCTTATTTTCATCAGACACTAAAACAAGATCTCCTATTTTCAGAGGTTGTGAAGCTTATACATGTTCATAATTTTGCCGTAACTGTCCGAGATATTCGATTCGAAATCTTTTTACGTATAGATCTTGTAAAAGTTTTTGTCGATAAATAAGCCTTTTGTTTAAAGATTTCGCATCTATATTATCCAGATCAGGAACTCCAATTTGTCGAATCTCATGGAGAAACATGGAAGGTGTGATCGGAGACAAATCTTCAACATCTTCCGAGACATACGTCAATGGACGATTATTCATTATTGCTTCACAGTCACACAAAATTGTTATCATTTCTTCATGATTCAGAGATGATCGTCCTAAAACTACTTTGCGAAGGATTCTTTTCAGGACTCCTATTAATCGCTCCCACCATCCTTCCCACCAGGGAGCTGATGGAGGAAGAAATTTCCATGTGATCCTGTGGATACTAGCTTGTTCTAAGATTTTATCCCAATTTAAGCTTTTGAATAATCTATCACTTCCTTTGAAATTCGTTCCATTGTCGGAATAGATGCTGAAAGAAAGAAGACAATAATTTCTGCAGTTAATTCGAATGCTATGACTGAAGTTAATTTTGATAAGATTTCTTCGTTCAATACCATTCTAAAGATAATATCTTGGATCTTCAGTTTTGTTAAAAATGTCAGACTAAGTCCTAATGAAAGAACTTTTGGAACAATTGCAGCGTAAGAAATTAAAGGAGCCGAATTAACTCTTTTGAGATTAGTGCAGACGTCTAGCAATGAAACGTCTCAGCGCTTGCAGAAAACTTTCAGTTGATAGCCACAACTCACTTGGCACTCTAACCGTGACTGTTCAAAAGGATTTACATTTCTGATATTGTTGCAATAGGAAGAGAGCAGCGAGGCAGCTTCTTAGCGAGAACAGAGGTAGAAGCAAAAGTGCGCAGTCAATTCCGGTATGGTATCTCATTAAGAGAAAGTTTCGGTTTAAGTTGTGAATTAGCTAGGTCCTCAGCGTTATGCAGAACACATAAGGATTGACCAAGAAATGACGCAGTCCAGAAATAATGATTACTATTCTTAGAACAGATAGAGATGTAAAATTGAGGAATTAAGGGACTAAGGGAGATAATTAAAGGGCGATACTTTTTATTGCAAAAATTCATAACTGAGGATTTTTATCTTTTGACAAATACGAAAAAAAAAGGGTAATTAAATCTATACCTTCAGATCTTTGAATAACATTTATATCACAGCGTAAATTATTTAGCGTCTTCTGTAGATTTTCTGGCGCGTTTACTCAAGTTAATCTCACTTGAATAAATGTAAAACTGGACTCCAAAATATTAAAATCTTAAACCTTTCTTCAAATTCTCATCGTAATAATGATAATGAATTTACGGAAAATTTATTCTAAAACCGTATGAACATGCTTCAAGGGAGACATGTCGACAGCCAGTATGAGATAATTGTTGTAGGTGATAACAGAAAGACCATTATAATATTTGCATTTGTCACAAAATATATTCATTAAACCATTTTGACAACGTTTTAATAATTATAATCGTGTACCTCGAAGTTATGTATCACTGTTACTTCCACAAAGCAAGGGATCATTTGCGTATTTAAAAATGGTTAAACTCTCAAAAATCCCACCTTCTCCTTGACTGGGTATCAGCTGCACAATTGTTGGTCTTCTAGTCACTAGGTTTGCTCCTCGTGGTAAAAATTCCCTAAAAGAAAAGAGATGAAAATTCAGTTTGAGAAAACTTAATTCTCTCAGACGTTAAACGTTAGAAGGAATAGAACATTTCAAATATTTATTTAAAAAAAAAAACTTGTAATCTGATTTTTGTTATCAGACTCATGTTTGAAAATCAGAAGAAAATTGTTCACTAAAAAAGTAAAAAGAAGACTCTTATTTATCGCTGAGAAATCGGTGATAATTAAACAGGTCGAGTTTTGAGTTAAAGTAGCACGCTAAATAACGACTATCGGAGGAGTTAAAGCAGCAAAAATCAACGTAATATTCATAAATTAACAAGACTAGTTTCGAATGTTGAAATATAGGACCCTCCTCTTCAGCTGAAACAGTGCAAATGACGAAAGAGAAGCCAGTGTTCAGGCGATATGAATGAGGGGAAAGAAGTTTAGCTATTGGCGCCATCTGTCAAAACAACTATAAGATAATATACTTAAAGCCGAGGGTAAAGACAGAATAGAATTGGCATCGTTAACTTGAACTGAAAAATTTTTATGACTGTGAAAGCCTCTATACCAGCGGTTCTCCACCGGTGGTACACAAGGGAAAAATAGGTGGTATGCAAAGAAACAAAGTATTTTTAAACATCACTACGTATATGTTTCAAATATCTTGTGAAGAATTATATATAAGTCAAATATCTTGTGAAGAAAAAGAACAGTTGGTAGAAATTTCCTGTGATCAAACTCGAGCTGAAGATTTCAAAAATAGCATACTGGTTAACTTTTGACTGAACAGAGAAAAGAATTTGAAGTCATCTCAAACAAAGCTATTCAATTTTTATTCCCTTTTTGCACAACGTATTTGTATGGGCAAGGATTTTGTTCTGTGTTATATTTGAAAAATAAATATATATATATATAAAAAAAAAAAAAAATTAAAAGTGAATCCTAATTTACGGTTAAAGCTAAGTAAATAAGACCATAAAGAAATTGATAAATTAACTATTGAATTGATTGAATAAATAGAAAATAGATAGAAGAAAAATTGATAATTTAACTATAGATATTGATAATTTAAATAACCATAAAGAAATTGATCTATCGTAAACAGACCCAAATTTCACACTAAATTTTAAAATTTAAGTGTTATAACTTCAATTTAATTTAAGTGTTATAACTTTAAGTGTTATAACTTCAATTTTGATAATTAAAATGGTAACCAGTTTATAATCTAGCATTTTTATGTGTGCATATTTAACACAAATAGCCAATAAATTGTGTAAATGGTAAAATATATATAGTTTTCTAAATATTTCTATTTAGAATTTGAAAAATAATCATTGTAAAATTTAGCGGTGGCACTAAAGTTTTTGTTTAGATGCTATGCACTAGAGCAGTGGTGCCCAACCTTTGGCCTATGGCAAGCACATTTCGAAAACATCAACAATTTTTGTTAAACATATTTCCATTCTTATGTGATACATCTTAAATATTAATTTCGGTAAATGGGTTTGAGATGAATAATAATCAAAATCGTAAAAACAACCTTGTATTTAGTGTAAGTGTATTGAGTATTTCTCTGTTTCAATTGCCTTGTGGTTATTAATATGGCTTGATAAATTCTAAAAATGGGTGAAATTTTTTTCTTTCATCTGATTTATCCACAAATTTAACTTTATCTGAAAAGCAGTTACAGTCCCAGTAAATTGAAAAAGGGTTTTTTTTTCTTTTCCCTGGAGATCTTCGTTCAGTTTGTTCAGTTTAGCTGTTATATCCGTGAGAAAATACAGATCGAATAACCAAATTAATTATCGTTCCAATTCTTTCTTTATAACTTTCGTTTCCGGATTCCTAAAAACTGCTTTATTGGCTAAAGAAGTTCTACAAATCGTTGAAGTACTTTTCCCCTGCTGAGCCATCTAACATCGGAATGAAGCAATAAGATTCCATGTTCGCTATCAAGTTCATCAGTCAGCAATCAATTATTTTATAACGTGTTGCAAGATATCTCTTATGACTATAAATGCTTACCATATTTTAACAATTAAGAAATATAAATCAATGGTTATTTTTAAAATATTTTTTGTTCGTAGTACCTAATCGGGCTGACGAGCACATACAAAAACGATCGGCGAGCACGAGGTTGGGCACCGCTGCATTAGAGTCAAAAGGTTTTGAACCGCTGCTCTACATAATCTAATTCGCCAGTGAAACATGTTTTTTGAATAATTTTGGCAGCGGAAAGATTGAAAATCTGATTTTCTGACCAACTGTGTTGGACAACAGAAAATTCTTAAGATATGCCTCGTCTTCCTCAACACGAAATTTAGAGCTCTCTTAGTTTCACCAACTTTAATGAAACCAAACTGGCAAGGAATCCTGTATGTACCAAAAGAGTTCTTGTCCGGAATTGAGTCCTTAATTATGAAACTGCGAATTTTATTCACAGAAGATAAAATATTAATAAATTTTATTGCTAATAGATTTAAATATAAATAAATAATAAATTGAATAACAAATTTTATTGCTAATCAATAGAAAGAAAGGAATAAGAACAGAATACTCATATTCACCCTAAAATGAGAGGATGCTTTTTGACGGTATCGATATGAAAGTTTTTAACCGCTTGGTCAATCATGCCAGGTGTAAAACCTCTGTCAATGCCAACTACTTTAAAATAATTTAGTTTCTGATCAAGAGCCGATTTGGAGGAGCAAATCTGAAGTGCTCCGCGAACGAAACAATAAAATGAAGTTGATTTTTGTTTGGTCGAATGACATCATTTGAAGTGTGGTAGAAGGCAAACAGATGAAGGTTTCTTAAACTGTGGGTCGCGACTCTGCAGTAAGGGGTCGACAAAAATTTTAGCAATTTTGATATTTCTTTAACTTATTATAATAATTTTACAATTACTAAATAATTTTACATAATGTACTCGTATCTGAAAATAAATAAAGATAAGATAATACAGACAAAGATAAAACGACACATGTTTTTATAATAGAAACATTCATTTTACTTGCAAAATTAAAGTTAATGACCTAAAACTGTAATAGTATATTACAGTACAAGTAAAGAAACTGATAGTTTCACTCACGCGTGTGTTGGATTTGCGTAATTTGGGGTGCCACAAAATTTTCGTAAACATTATGGGGTTCCCACACTAAAAAGTTTAAGAAACCCTGGTTTAAGGTATGCAGTGGTATTGAAGTTAGAACTGTTGATGTTGCTGTGACTAATCTCGCCGTCTGATACCAGAGGAAGGCCACAAAATTCATCGTCGCAAGTAAGCAAGTTGCGCCTGTCGTTGGCAAGAGCCCTGGGCACCACACAAGTAATAGCTGAAGTTAGATATGTCGTGTGTGACCAAGAATGTCGAGGAACGGAAGGGAATTGGATGTCTCAAGTTGAGAATTGAACTGAATAGCTCAATCAATGGAATTCATTATTGAAAGAACTTTATTTAAAACATCTTGATTACCGTCAAACAGGATAAAAATAGCGTCAATATAGGTAACACATTGGAATATAGAATGTGGAATATCGTCACGCAGGGAAGTTTGAAATTTCAAATAATTTTGATTCATAGTAATGTACATATCAGCAAGGATAGGGCTAAGAGGGTTTCCCGTGGCTAATATCTCAATTAGGTTATAGGAAATATTTTCAAAAACAAAATGCTTTTGTTTTAGAGAGCTGAGTAAGAGAAATTAACTCATCAATACAGGAGAAACGAAATTCTCGAGGTCTCGTTTCCAGACATTTCAGTTCATCTTCGACTGGAACTTTGGCGAATAATGATTTTATATCAAAAGAAAGCATGATGACAGTCACAGGAGAAATACATTAATTTTTTATTAACTCTGTTAAATTTTTATGACGTAAGGATTATTAACTAAAAAAGCTGAAAAATCTAGAAACTAACAATACCTGAACAGATATTGAGCGAAACAAATGAATGAGGCACCTCACAGGAATGAATCTTGACCGGAGTTCTCAAGAAGAACATTCCACGAACAAAAAGAGCGAAAAAAGATTCGGATTTTGAAAGGCCGTAGATAAGGTTACAATGAGCTAGAACGTTTCTCAAATGTGAGAACGCCTGCGACGTCCGTGTAGCTTCACAAAGAATCTACACAAAATGCGCTTCAAATAACAAATGCAAGCGAAAATGAAATGGATGAAATGCTAATACAAAAATGCAAATACAAATTGAATGCACCGAGTAAAAATAATCGACGGAATATAATTTACCCACAAACTTACCTTCAGAGGGGAAAATTATGTACAATAGAGGAATTCTCAAATTAAACAAATATTTTTTAAATTTTCAGAATCTAGCATTAAAATGCTAAGGAGGGGGAGGGGGCAATTTGCGAGAAAATAAGATAATGTAATTCAACTGAGGGTGAAATGAGGCATACGTTCCGTATCTGCCATCTGTTACTTAATAATAGGCACTTTAACGTCATGTTCCCGCTCGGCTTTCGTCGTAAGCATGGCAACCACGGTTAATGAAAAGGATCGAATCCCCTAACTATTTTCTTCTCACTTCATTTCTGTTTCGCTTCGCTAAAACATAACGATTGAAGGCTATTTTGAGCTACAATCTCAAATGAGAGTCAGTTGATAAGTGTTTTGCGGTGACGACGACATGCCATCTTCTTGCAGTGCCTATTTTAAAGTAACAAATTTTAATGTCAATGTCAGAATTATTAACGGCTAAAAAAGATGTTGCCCTGATAACAGAATTTTATACGTTTATTGCATTTCAGCTATCAGGTCTCACAGCACCCAGAGCTACACATTTAAGCTCTGAGCAGTGTAATAATTATTACAAACTGGCGGAAATACCTGATGCCAGTTCAGTTAGATTGAGAGTAATGCATCTTAACAACAGAGAGAACGATACCGCTGTGATCCTTCTCTAATAACGATGCAAAGAATACAATTCAGTCATACATTTTTCAGTCTGATGCGATATGGAACCCACATAAAAAATTTCGATAGAAAAATAAACTAATTCTCTCTCTCATTATATCAGCAAGGAATGGCATGCAGTTTTTAATGATTTTTCGTCTTTCTAAGCAAATGATCGTATGAATGCAAATGATAAGTTCCATCCAATATTTGATCTTTATTCAGTTTTAGTCAATTAAATGTGGCAAAAAAGTGATCATAATTGATCAGAAATCAATAACGCGAACAAACAAACAAACACACAAGCAGACATTCTTCTTTATATGATCGGGAATAATGTATTTAATGCTTGGCAATGCTATTTTTATTTAATCGCAAAACTCAGAAATTTTTTATTAACAAACTCTAGGATTTGAAATACAGCAGTGGCAACAACTTTCGAAATAAAGCAGATTTTCATCTCCAGCTTTCGAGATTGTTGCCACTCGGAAAAATGAGGGCGATAATTATCGTACTGTTTTCAGAGTTTTTAATTAATATCTCTGATTTTAGCTACTTTTTTTTTTGGAAAAAAGTGGACATCGACGTTTTACAGGACTCAGAAAAGAATTGTAGAAAGTTTGGCGACGATAACTATAGTAGTGACCGAGTTATTAGAGGACAACTAAACACACAGACTTTTTTCTTTATATGTTTAGATAGATGATGGTTATCTTTGCTACTTGGTGTAACGCAAAGGACGGATGAATAAAAACTTACTTTCTGACAAAACTTTCGAGAACACTGCTTTTCCCAGCGCTTTGACCTCCGACGACAGCAATCTGCGGCAAGGAAATATCCACGCTGTGGCCACTGGCGGCGAGTTTGTTTTGCAGCTCATTGACGACGTCGATCAAATCCCTTTCTTGTGTCGCAGGAACATCTAGAAAAGAACCCACAGAGAAAAATTTAATTTTCACGCTGAGAAGAACATCCTGTATTTCTATTAATATGTCTGTAATATCACCCTTTTCTTCTTCCTCCGCCTCATAGAGAAATAACACCACCTTCTTGTATTTTGAATATTTATTGCACAAACACAAAACTAGTACTAAAACTACAATAACTGAAATATGTTCATTAAGTAATACAAATTAATTTCGTTTTCATTAATGGCTCCCATGAGCCTTCCCTATGACCTCTTTGCCGGTCTTCCTCTTGGAAACTAAACTTTTAGCGCCTCTCAGACCGAGAGTTAGCACCCTCTATACATCTTGCTTGTTGGCGTCACCTATACATCACAATGTCTACAACCGAAAATATTGTTACGAAATGTACAGGCGCAGTACAATGGCTTCTCCGCAGAGCAGTTTTAAATGGCAAAAGAAGGCAGGGTTGCCACATTTGGCGAGAAATCGCCCATTTGGCGACGAAATTGGCGACATTCCATGGACGGATGGAGAACCTTCTGGAAAGAAGCTCCGCAGTCAGTTGGTGTGTGCCTCGTCGAGAGGGCGAATGAGAGTGCCTAGTAAAGTGTCGCTGAGTGCATCGCGAGTTGTAGCGTGGAGAGTCTCGAGAGTACGTGGAGTTCCAAGAACGACCAAGCAGAGTCAGGATCTGTACTCTAGTGCTTTGCCGTGAAGCTGTCTCCACCGTGATAGCCTGGACGCTGTGTCGCTGATCGTGTCAGCGTGTTTATAACAGTTCGACGACTGTAAAAGTGTTTTGGAGCTGTCCTGACAATACTGTCCAATAAAGTGTGTTTCGATACTGCATCAAGTAGTGTCGGCGTTATTTACTCCAAATCTGCACGAACCCCGTAACGTAAAGAAGAAGAAGGAAGAAAATAACGTAACAACTGGTGTCAGAAGTGGGATTTGTGAGTGAATGCCAGTGACTCGCCCACAGAGGAAAGCCATGGCGGAAGAAATGAAGACTTCGATGGACATTTTAGCCGAGATAAAAGCCGGATATGTTACGATGAGGGCTAGATGAAAGCTGATATGAGAGATGAGGCTGAAATGAAAGCCGGACTGGCTGAGATAAAAGCGGATATGAAGTAAAAGCTGGATATAAAGGATGACAGCTGAGATGAAAGCTGGACTGGAAGAGAAGAAACCCCGACGAGAAGTAAATGGCGGCCAAGAAAAGGTGCGAAAGCAACTCCAACAGGTGAAAGTCGAGCTTACAGAAGAAACTGGAGGCATAAAAGACGATGTGGAAATGAGACAAGTGGCATCTGAAGAATCAAAGGATGAAGAAATGAAGGAAATAGCTAACGAACTGCCTGAGAAAGATCCAGAAATCATCGATGAAATATCTAACGGGATTAAAGAAAAAGAACGAAAACATGAAGAAATAAAGACGAGAAGGAAGATTTATTCTCATGTGGCTGAAGTAGGATAGAAGAAGTAAAAATGCGACTGTCAAGTTCGTAGAAATTGATTAGTGAAAGTGAAACGCAGTCAGCAAGTGTTAACCATCTGAAAGTAATGTGATGAGAGATGGAGAAGCTGAGTACAGCTTAAGCAAGTGTGCCCAGTAAACAAGAAAATCACTCACCTGCAATTATGTGTGCGTCTCATAGTGGAGATTTTGCAGGCGGACTGATTCTAAACATGGGATACTTGAGTTTGTGTGAAGAATTGGGTTCCGTCATGACTCTTGAGACATTTGGGTGGTCACAGGAAACGAGGAAAATAAGCATGTACAACTGCTAAAAGTATCGCGGTGAACTGTACACGTGATACGAACAAACTTCAGAGTAGTGAACAAACTGTTTCAGATCTTTTTGTGGATGGAAAGTTTCAAAGAACTGAATCTTCAGGCTGTGATATGCAAAACATAAATATATCTGAGGACTGCAATGGAAAGGTATTTGACCCGGGTATATTTTAGTGTGTTTAATTTGTGTATATAACTTGTATATAGTGTAAATATTTGTTGCTTTCTTTATGTTACCTGTATGTTTTAAAGCCATTTGATTGGATCGAATTTGGCTTCTGACCAAGGGTTTTACTGCCCGGGACGTGAAGTCCTTGGGGGGGGCAGTGTTACGAAATGTACAAGCGCAGTAAGGTGGCTTCTCCGCAAAGCAGTTTTAGGGTTGCCATAAAATGGTAAGAGAAGGCAAAATTGCCATATTTATCGCCATATCACCCATTTGCGACATTTGGCGACCAAATTGGCGATATGCCATGGACTGATGGAGAACCTTCTGGAACGAATTCTTACCCGTTTAGCCTAGAATGTTCTTGAACACAAGCCGAAAGCTACATAAACCCTGCTGGTCCGCAGTCAGTTAGAGTGTGCCCGTCGAGAGGGCGAGTGTGTGTGTGTGCCTCGTCTAGCGAGCTGATAGTCAGTCATTGAGCGAATGTCTCGAAGTTTAGCGCCGAGTTGGTCGTCCAGTGCAGCAAGAGAGTCTTTTAGTGCATCGGGAATTAGTGCATCGTCGAGAATGTGCTGAGTCGAGAGCTATACTCTTGTGTATCGTCGAGTGCATCGCGTGGGGTCTCGAAGTACGCGGAGTCCGAGACAATCAAGCAGGTTGGGAGCTGTATCGGGCGCTTTGCAGTGAAGCTGTCTCCACCGTTATTGCCTGCCAGTGTGAAGACTGTGTCGCTGATCGTGTCAGCGTGTTTATAACAGTTCGACGACTGTAAAAGTGATTTTGGAGCTATCTGATTAATACTGGTAAATAAAAGTGTGTTTCGATAATTCAATCAAATGTCGCCGTTATTCACTCCAAATCTATGAACCCCGAATTTGTCTAGGCTAGGCCTTTAACTCCACATCATCAGAGATAAAATAATTACATCAAAAGAGGGGTTCATCTACTAAGAGAAAATTTTGAAGCCTAATTATAGAAATAAAAGCTTTTCAGATAATGCCTTCCGCATGACAAAAAGGTAAAACTCATAGATGGTCTTTAAATTAAATTTGTCTAAAAAGGGCCAGGATTAAATTTTTAGAGAGCAGTCAATATTCGAAAAATTTTGAGAAGAATAAAAAGGTGCAGTACATTTCCTTGATTCTTGATATCAACAGTAAAATAAAATCCTTAGGACAAGCAATACGAAGAGTTGGGCAGAAAGGGCTGGGGAGGGGGAAACCCGTTGGGCGGGTTCTAAAAGTGGGCCTCCTGGTAGAGCGGTGCTTTGGAACACCCGGGTGCCTGGGCCGAAGGCCCTACTCCTTGTAGAACGTTTTAGTAGCTACGAAAAATGTCAAAGAAATAACCAGTTAATTTCTAGAACAAATATGAAAAGAAAACATAGTTCATAATAAGGCAACCGCTGGATCATTTACCGGCAGGGTACGTAATAACTGGATTTCCAACAAGATGGATGTTTCTGAAAAATCTTTCCGAAAGTCGCTGTATAAAGCGATTAATGGGCATAATTTTGAGGTCGTTATGAATGTCATCGTTCCTTATGAACCATGGAGCGTTTAATATCTGCCGTAAAAATTTTGATTGAAAAATTTGGACGTGTTTACGGTTAGTCAGAGCAGCTGAGCCCCAGATGGGACTCGCGTAAGTGAGAATACGCCTTATAAATAGATTTATAAAGCAAGATCTTGTTGTCAAGTGACAAGTCACTATTTTTAGCGAAAAAGGAGCAAAGGTTGGCTTCGACAGCTTTCGCATTCGCAATAATTTTTTGAATGTGAAGTTGCCAAGTTAAGTCTAGTAAAACACCAAGGTATTTGTAAGCAGTAACCCAGGGAATAGGTTCACCGAAGAAAATTAGATTGTCTAAACGAAGGATGTTTCCTCGGATGAATAAAGTGGCAGCACATTCAGAGATATTAATTTTGATTTTATACTGTCCGAGCTAGAGTTCTAAGGCTGAAAGGTAACTCTGTAATGTAGAGATTACCGTGGTGATGTTGGTATGTTGAGTTAGGATGGCCGTATCGTCTGCATATAAAGCTAGATCGATACTAGGTGCTTAGGCACGTCGTTAATATAGATATTGAAGAGCAGAGGTGAGACAAGACTGCTCTGAGAACATCCAGCATAGATCGGGCGGGGAGAGGAGAGTTCGTGGTTAACTCGTACCATGGAGGTAACAAAGGAAGGAGTGGCCAACCGGCACTAGAAGTGAAGCACTGCTTCGAAGCTTCGGTCACCAGATGGGGTGTTCTTTGTTTACATTCAGAAGCTCGCTTGACAGTGTTCTGATAGTATTTCGACACACGACAGTTCCATACAAATCAAAAAAGAGACACTTTCGCATGAAAGAAACATTCATAGTGTGAAGGATAATACAGTTGTATAGTTTAGTGACATTACGCAAAAATCACATCTTGGTTATTTTTTCGTTAACTAACAACAGCGATTTTGATGATGATTTGTTTTATAAAATTCTAAGCTGTGAACTAAAAAATATAGATTTTACAAAAAGTTATGCTAAAGAATAAAAATACCTTACGGTACCTTTAAAATTGTATTACGCCTTTCGATACCCTTGAAGAGTATTCGCTACTTTTATTTTATGTTTCAAACGACGAAATGTTTAAATAAAATTAATTTTATTCACATCTATATATTATTGTAACATGTACCTTTTAAAATTTTTTAAGGGAAAGGTTACTGCTGCTATTTTAAACTCCTCGTTTTAATTTTATATCTGAAAATAACTTTGGGCTTACACGTTTCACTTATTTCGTTAATTAAAAAAAAAATTACCATCAAATGCTGCATCCATCATTCAAATTATATTCATATAATTTTTTATGTAACTTTGGGTGATGCTAAATTAGTGTAAATTACTTACTCGAAAAATATAGTGAATGCACGAAATTAAGATTTGCACATGCCGGAAATGAAAAATAGGAAATATGTATGGGTATTATGCATGTGCTTGCAAAAAGCATGATTTGCCTTACATATACAAAATACATAAATATATTAAATTATTTATAAAGTATTTG